GTTTGCGAGGACAAGGAGGGCGCGCAATTCCTTGTCTCCCCAGTTGCTCATCTTTACAGTGTCTGTCAGGTTTGTGTTTCCCTCTTGCTACTAGCTGCTCGCTAATTCCTGCTATCAGCTGTTTCCTGTTTATCCACCGCCAGTGGCTCGCACGTGCAGCGTCATCAACAGCTCCTCCCACAAGTCATCAACAGCTCCTCCCACAAGTCATCAACAGCTCCTCCCGTTGCAGAAGGCCGCCTCGGTCTGTTTAAACTAAACGGGTTCCACCAATATGTCTACCCTACGAGGAGGAAAATTGGGCACCTCGGATCAACTCGCCAATCCGGCTCTGTGTGTCTAAACGCTCGCAGCTTGCCGGGAAAACGGCCCAACGTTCACCGAAAATCTGGCAGTGTAAAAGGGGCCCCAAACTCCCAGGCCTCTGGTGGAGGACCCCAGCCTGAGGGTGACACAGACTCCACCCTGAGAGGGTGAGAGGGTGACTTATATTCTTTAATGTCTTGCTTTTCCTGTCACTTTTGTTTTTACAAGCAGGGACAACAAACTGAAATCATTAAGAGGTGTTTTAGTGGCCCCCCTGCTGTAACTCTGGGGGCCCCTATAGGGGTCGCAGACCTCCTGTTGAGGACCCAGGATTTACATTGTTTTCTGTTAATGTTCTTTTTATGTGCTGTTAAATAATGTTGTGTAATAATGCCGTCAACACAATCAAATATCTAAAAAGAATATGATAATATTGTTTTGGTGAATTTTTGTTTAAAAATCCTTTGTTTGTTTTCTGCTGTTGAATATCAAACTCGTTGTGTTTGTTCCTCGTGTCAATAAAAGAAAAACTCGATTCTGAATGGCGGTTAGGTTTCCAAGCTGGTAACCACTGCGCATGCGTCGTCACTTTTACTTTTGCCGCCTACATTTACACAGCCACAGCTCAGCCCCCTGTGTTTCTCCCCTCAGAGTGAGTCCTCCTCTCAGACAGAGACGATCTGTGTCCGCTGGCGGCAGTGATTGCTGTGAGTGAGTGAGTGTGTGTGTGTTTGTGTGTGTGAGCTCAGCTCGGTGCAGCAGCAGCAGCAGAAGAAGAAGAAGAAGAAGAAGAAGGGAGGGGTGCACAGTCTGCACACAGACGTTTCTGGATCAACCGAGAAGCTTCAAACATCTTGAGGTACATTTATAATCTGATGAAATCTGATCTCATCGAGCCGCTGCACAACTTTACCTCTTTATACGTCACGGTAATGTGTGTGTGTGTGTGTGTGTGTGTGTGTGTGTGTGTGTGTGTTCGCTTTGTGCATGGTGGGGTCGGGAGATGTTGCCGAGCATGAATGGACCACTGTGTGTGTGTGTGTGTGTGTGTGTGTGTGTGTGTGTGTGTGTGTGTGTGTGTTACAGTAGGCTGTGTGCAGAGATGCTAACACACACTGGAGTTTCACACTGTGTGAGTGTGTGTTTGTTGTGTGTTTCCACCCACCCACACACACACACACACACACACACACTGAAACATGGTGATGATGATGATGATGATGATGATGATGATGATGAAGAGCTCTGAAACTATTTCCTCAATGGAAACTGGTGAACTGGTTTGAGCTCCACGTGACTGGTGAAGGCACTTGTTGAGGGACTGTTGGTTATTAATGAGGAGGAGGAGGGTGTGTTTATAAGTTACTGTCCCTGAGTCTCCACCCAAATGTCTTAGGTTTTAAAGACTCACTCTGTGATGTTGATTTTGTGCCAGCGCTTTATTTTGAGCCACATTTTAAACAAGATGAAAATTAAAGTGATTTTAATGAAGCATCTCTGTTTTAAACTCAGATTAGTTTCTGTCTCACATGATGTGTCCACGGACTGTAGGAAATCCAACAGTTTCTGGCTGTGATAAGTGTAGAAAAACAAAACATGCGGCAGATTTGGAAGTCGTGTTTTCCTAGAAAATCTGCAAAAATCTTTTTAAATCAATTATGTCACAGATTAATATTTAATATTTGGTATTAACAACAGTGAATGTACGTACTTTTTTTACTTTGATAAAAATGGTAAATCTATTATCTTAGCATAGCTTCCTTTACCATAAAAGGACAAACAACCATAAGAGAGCAAAAAATATACTTGCAATATTATGTCAGTATATATATTTATATATATATAGATATATATATAGATATATATAACTTTAATTAAATTAAATCCAACATATACAGAACAGGCCAAAAGTTTGGACACACCTTCTCATTCAATGCGTTTTCTTTATTTTCATGACTATTTACATTGTAGATTCTCACTGAAGGCATCAAAACTATGAATGAACACATGTGGAGTTATGTACTTAACAAAAAAAGGTGAAATAACTGAAAACATGTTTTATATTCTAGTTTCTTCAAAATAGCCACCCTTTGCTCTGATTACTGCTTTGCACACTCTTGGCATTCTCTCCATGAGCTTCAAGAGGTAGTCACCTGAAATGGTTT